AACCAACATAAAATCTAGAAAGATGGGGTGAGAGAGAAACTCACTGGCCTCTCAGCATTAAGATACCAAGGTGCAGAGGACATATATTGGGGAATGTGAGGGTTGATTTCTTTCCCATCTTCATCGACCTCAGCTGGCGCAAGCCCTGCCTTACGTGCTTCCTCTAATTCAAGTTGTTTGCGATGATCCTCCCTAGATTTGAAAGCAACTGCAATACCGATGAGAGAGTTTATCAAAACAGTGTTCTATAAAAAAAGTAGGAGTACATCAATCAAGACAATATTTTATAATGAAGTAGTAGCAGTTTCCGTTCTAACTTAATAAGCTAGAATCTCCGTTCGTTCAACAATGCACAACTCACAAAAAAAAAAAATAAGACTGCATCCATAATTCCACCAAGACTTCTTTATTAGGTAAAATTATTGCATTCGAAATAATACCTGATGCAGTAGCCATCTTCAGCAGAAACAGAACGGATGTTCAAGAGTAACGTGGAAGTTATTGTGAACCCTAACCAAATAAGACAGAAGATCAGTGATATAGCCGTGGAAATAGATATAGCTAAACAATACACAGAAACTTAATCTTCCAAGAGAATTCACGCATGAAAATGTGAAAGCTTCTTGAATTTGACTATGGCTTACAATCCGATCGGCATATAAACTAACCTTAGAAGCTTATTTGATTATGACAATCAAACCAATTATGAAGGATTAACCTAAACAGTCCATTATCGACAATCCTCTAAAATCAATACGCAACGAAACTGATCGACCTCGATTTGAAACATAATCGTTCAACAATTTTGCAGACGTCGCAGAGATTGGAATCGAAAAAAGTACCTGAAATTGAAAGATGGAGAAGAACGAACGGGAGGGACCGAAAGTGGAACACAGCCCGACGGGGGAGGGAACCGGGTCGGTAACAAAAACGGAGGGAAACCTGGCGAGTGGCGGGAGAGAGAGTATAAAATAGAGAGTATAATGTGGGACTTTCATCATCCAACAATATAAACTTTTATGAAAGATTTCTGACCATTATTTCAAATAATGCTCCGAATATAAATACGGTATAAATTATATAATATGTTTTCAAATATTTTTAAATTTAGGTCCAACCTGTAATACTTTTGTTTTTTTTTTTTTCCAAATAATTTTTAAAAAAAATTAAAATTTTCTATTTATGCCTTTCTCATTTTTGTTATCTAAATTTTAAAATATAATAGAAAAATGGAAAAGTTAAATTTATTTTATTTATTTATTTATTACATTTTATAATATTAACACCCGAATTATCCCTTTTTATAATTTGTAATTAAAAAAACCCTAAAATTATCCTATTACGAGTCATTGACCGTAGACTAATGCGCAATAGTTGGCAAAAGACATATTTTCGTTTCCTAATATACCCTTAAATCCTTATCTAATTTACAGTTCACGCCATTTTTGGACTGCGGCGGTTCTGTAAAATTAAAATGCAGGGTCATTTAGCGACCCACCAGCTTTAACGAACACGCTGTACCAAAACTCCATACTATCGTTCATGCTAGAGCTATTGTCGTAATAACACCCAAATTCCATAGAGTCCATGGCTCTGAACAGCGACTGAACCTGTTCTTCATCATTGAACGCCGACGACTTGAACATTGGCCCAGTCGACGCCTCCTCTGCCCAAACCCCGCCAACTGTTTGATGAAATGCCTCAAAGATTTCAATGCGTTGTTCCTTCTCGATTTCGTTGCAGCCGCCCCACACGGCGGCTGGAGAATCAGTCACTGATGAATGATCGAGGGAAGAAGATGGAAATTCGTATTGGTTAGAGGAATTCAGCTTCTGGGGTGGTTTGGATTTGGGTTCAACAATGGCAGAATCGTTGCTCTGTTTCTTCATTGCTCGTTTTTTCAAGTGGGTGTGCCAAAAGTTCTTGATTTCGTTATCGGTTCGTCCCGTTCTTCATTGCTCGTTTTTTCAAGTGGGTGTGCCAAAAGTTCTTGATTTCGTTATCGGTTCGTCCCGATAGCTGGGCTGCGATGGCCGACCACCTGAATGTATCAACCATCAAAATCGTCTCAAAATCATTCTGTGCTGATAATTTTAATGGCGTTTTTCAGTTGATGTACCTATTCCCAAGCTTTTCATGGAGGATTCTGTGCTGATAATTTTAATGGCGTTTTTCAGTTGATGTACCTATTCCCAAGCTTTTCATGGAGGTAAAGAATGGTGTTCTGTTCCTCTTGGGTGAAATTTCCCCTCTTAATATCCGGTCTCAAGTAGTTTATCCATCGAAGTCTGCAACTCTTCCCACATCGTAAAAGGCCTAACAAAACCGAAGAAATACACAGAGATCAAAACAAAGAAATTGTAACCGTCTAAATACACATATTCTCATTTCAATTTTGAACTTCCCCTCAAACCTATAATAAGCACAGATACGGTTTTCTTTAGACTCAAGAAAATACTCAGAGATCAAAACAAAGAAACTGTAATTGCCCTTTCCATTTCGAGCTTCCCCTCAAGTCCACCAAATATTATCATTTTTTTAATTTCCCTCAAAATTTTAAAAACGCATTTTTTAGAACATAGTGTTCTGACACACCGCCAATGTCTGGCTCAGCTCTGATACTATTTGTAACCGTCCAAGTTCACTGCTAACAAGTCTGCTAGGGAGAGGTTTCCACATTCTTGTAAGCAATGCTTCGTTTCTCTCTCAAATCGAGGTGGGATCTCACAAAAACCAACCATTTGATCATCGAAACTCAGTTTCGGGAAGAACTTACCGGCAAGCTTAGGAAGGGCACGCCAGTTGGCATGGCCGTGTTTTTGGATGAAAGAGATCAAAATTTGATCTTCTTCAGCTGCCCATGGCCCCTTTTTCAGTCCTGTTTTCTGGCAGCAAGGAACTCTCACCATTGTTTTTCAATGCCACTATGTTTTCCTGCGTAAATCAGCTCGTGAGTGAATATATATATATATATCTGGGAAAAAGAAAGCAAAGCCTGTTGTAAATATTTTAATTATATTTTATCAAATCTCTGGAAATTAACCCTCCTTTAATAACAATAATATTATTAAATATAAAGGGAAAATTTTATTAAATAAATAAATAAATAATAATTTGTGACCAGTTAAACAATATATAAGTTCGTTAAAAAGCATGTGGTTAAATTATATACAATATGTGACCTAAGTTCTCGAGAAATTATGTATTTTAAACTTTAGTAGGTAAATTTAATAGAATTAAAAAAAACATTGTGGGATATTTATTTATTTATTTATTATTATTATTATTATTATTTTACTATACAGATAAAATGAGGTGACTTTGAAAGTTAGAAAGTTGACCTAGATTTAAATAATTAGATTAAAGTTTTTAAGGTGTGAACATTTTTTTTTTTATTATTTTAGAAATATTTTTGTGAAGACCAACCCCAGCTAAATATTATCTGTTTTGTCTAATTACATATCACTGTTAGTCTTCCATGGGGTTAGCATCCTCGCTGGCTCACCACCTCGTCTCCAACCAATGTGAAATATCACAATCTACCGTTCTTGAAGCCCAACGTCATTGTTGGCACACCACCCATACTTGGCTCTGATGCCCAACAGCTCAAGTTCATCACTAGCAGATAATTGTTCACTTTAGCCTATTACGTATCACCGTCAGTTTCAAGATTTAAAAACAAATATGTTAGGAGGAGATTTTCACACCTTATAAAAAATGTTTTATTTCCCTCCCAACCTTTTATGTTATGATTATTCATTAAATTATTTTTGGAAATATTTGCTTACAAATAATATTATTATAAAAAATAGAATATTTCATTTTTTTAGAAGAGCTAGAAAATCTATTGTTTTGACTAAACAAAAAATATAATATATTGCATGAAATAATCAAATGCTAATTGAATCTGCGCGTTGAATTACGTAGTGAGCTCTTCAATTAATTAAATAATGGTCAAAACTTTATATTATAAATACATCTTAATTACTTTATATTATAAATAATATTTGCAGTTATTTTTGTTTCAAAACTAATATTTACATCTATTATTATTATTTTATAAATAAAATTAATTTATACTCTTTTGTAAAAGGTACAAGATAAAACTCTAAATTAATAAATTTATTAATTAAAATTTGAAGTAATTTAAAATGAATTAGGCAAATAATTTGACATTAATATAGCTCAAATTAATAAATCCAAGGTCAAAACCGAGTACTTTTACCATTTATATGTTCACACCAGCAAGATTAATTAATTAATTTATTTATTTATTTTGATATATACATTGTCTTATCTTAATTTTTTTATTCTAAAAACTTCAACTACATTTTTATAAATAATCTAAAATATAAATTATTGCACCCATTACAGATAACGACAAGCTTTAAAATAACTTTTAATTTATATTCCAAAATTTAACAAGTCAAATTATATCAAGTGTGATCCATAATTTAATATTTATTAGGTATTCAATAAAAAAAAATTAATTTTAATATGAGTAAATTTGGAATTAGAAGAATAACTCCAAGGAAGTTGCCAAACTAACATGATTGTTTTAAAATTAATTAAAATTAATTAAAATTAATTAAAATTATCCTTATATGTTATTGATTAATAATTTAAATTATTTTATAATTGATTAATAGTTTATATTTGTTAGTTGATGTATATTATTACTTTATATTGATTGTAATTTAATAAAAAAAATTGATGATATAGTTTTTCATATATAATGTAATTTATATTGATTTAATTTTTATTTTATAAAATTTATATTTTTCTGTGTTTTTTTTTTTTTTCGAAGCTTTTAAAATTATATAGGCTCGTTTAACATAAATGAAAAAAGAAAAAAAAATGATTTAATTGAAAGTTGTATTAATTTTAAAAAATAAAAACAGGATACATTTGGAAAATGTTGGGCCTTCGTGTTCTTACTTCTGTCTTCAATCTCCAGTTTCTACGAAGTAGAGAATTTTGAAACAAGAAGCCTTCGTGTTCTTACTTCTGTCTTCAATCTCCAGTTTCTACGAAGTAGAGAATTTTGAAACAAGAAAAAACAGGGGTAAGATTCCACATGCTTGATGCTTATATCAATGTATGAATTGTACTTCTGGATTCAAGTTTGTTTTGCTTATCTAGTTTGATTGTTGATTGGAATAATTTCTGTGGCTGTTCGATATGATTCAAGTTTGTTTTGCTTATCTAGTTTGATTGTTGATTGGAATAATTTCTGTGGCTGTTCGATATGTTTCGAGTAACTAAGTAGGATTTCTTTCTTTGATTATTTAATCTCCATTTTGCGAGCATTTTTCGTCGATTACGATTGGAGCTATTCGCGATCTCGGCTTAGGATCATCGTTCGATTTCCCCTTCTAATAGTAAATCGAACCTTCTACTTGAATATATTATTGTGTGTTTCTTTCGGAAGGTTGTTTCGGATAGCTGGATCAATAACCCTTCTACTTGAATATATTATTGTGTGTTTCTTTCGGAAGGTTGTTTCGGATAGCTGGATCAATAACAAATAAGTTGAATATAATTCTTCTATTTTAATACTTACAAATATTTTCTTCTTTGATTTCGTTGGATACTGGATTGCAATCTCCTCTTTAGTGCATCATTATTGAAGTCGCTAATGAACAATGATTTTGATCTTGTTGTTTATCTTCTGTTGCCGGAAGAACATTCAGCCAGAAAAGGAAAACGTTCAAAGAAATAAATGAAAATGAAAATTACTGTAGGCTACATTAATTTGGGATGTAGGAGATACAATGAGATACTCAACTCTTAAGACTGGACCTGAAAGCACAGTGCTCTTAATGGTTCATTTTCCCTATATTTTAAAGATTAGGAGTTTGTTCTTTATGGACTGTGATTCGAGTTCTGGAGAAAATTTTTAATCTGTAAGTTATTCAGTGGCTGACAGAGCCCCAGCTACAATCTGTGGAAGATTAATAGTTTATGACATTTGGCTAAAAATCAGAGTAATGCTTCATCTGAAATTGGTGTTGCTGAGCATATACCTGGAACTTCAGCGAAAGATGGTTCACCGATATGTGAATTTTAAGATTGATGAAAAGAAAAAGGCCCAGATGGGATTTTCGATGATTTCACTTCTTCATTGCCTGAGAGTGATTGTAGATCTGCAGTTCATGATTATCACTGCCTGGTTTATTTCATTCTTTCAAACAGTTTTTTCCTTGTTAGTACAGTCAGTTCATGATTATCACTGCCTGGTTTATTTCATTCTTTCAAACAGTTTTTTCCTTGTTAGTACAGTAATTCGATTTGTAATTTAGCAGTTTCAACCTCTTACTATTTGATTGAACGAGTTCAGTTCCTTATGTTTGATTCTGCTTTAGTTTAATGTTCAACTATTTCATTAAATAGCAAGCATCTTTCTTTATGTGTTGAATCTCAGGTGTTATTTCTAGCTTAGCTAGCATGAATCGAAAACATGGAGCTGTAACATTTCTTATGTGTTTGGTTGACTTTCTTTCTGATGTTGTTTCATGAAATTGTGTACAATCAAACTTTATCTATGCCATTGTTTCTTTAACAAGAGGGATTTTAGAAGTTTATACAAAGGGTTGTTTTATACCTATCTGAGATTAGTATTAGTTTGTTATCAATTTGCTTCACTTGATTTGTCCGGTTGATGTTATAGCATTATCAGTTGTTTCAGTTCACGTCATCTGCTTTGCTGTAGTACCAAACATCTATATCATGGCCGTGATTGTCTGAAGTTTTCACACTTGATTTCTTCTATTTTCTGAACACTAGCAAGCACATTGAATGTTTTATAATGTCATTCTAGTTTTTCAGGCAAAGGAAATGAAGTAAGGTATGCAACTGTCTAAAATAATCTCGCTCAAGATGATTAATTGAGCGTAAAGCTCTCTTGAAGAACTCGTAGGAAACATTTATTTGATGTTTACAGAAAATAGAGGACGAGTACAACTAACGAACATGAAATTAAAAATTACCCTACTATTCCCTACATCAGTGATCCACTTCAGTTCTTATGACTTGTTATAGTTAACACTTTTTGCAGGTCTCCTTCTAAAGGGAGTCCCACATTGACTAATTAAGGAATTAATCATGGGTTTATAAGTAAGGAATACAACATCCATTACGAGATCCAGACAACTGACCCAACTGAGAAGAATCTTGAAGTCCTTAGAGATCATGCAATCTGATTCTAAGCATTACACTTGGATTTGTACGAATTTCCCGTAAGGAATTCTTAGAGTTCTAATCTACTGCATAATGACTGTGCCTTGTTAACTAAAAATATTTCTGTATATTTGATTAGGGGCTCGTGACTTTGATAACCACTGCAGCAGCAGGAGGGTAACTTGAGCTTCCTCACTGTCGTTATGCTTCTAAGGTGAAGTTGTAAACTTGACTTAAACTACTTGCTCAATCTATAATATGAACAACTAGATCTTCTGTTTATGTTTCTCGCTCTTAGATTTAGTCAATCGATTCTAATACCTAAAGTCTCCAGCTGAATTTCTAGACACAATTGTTCAGTACAAGTGGTAAAGAATTTAGAACTTTTTACTGCTCCGAAGTGTGAAAGGACTTCCTTAATTTCTGTTTGCACAAAAATTGTTAGAAACCACGAATCTCCGTGATAGTATGATATTGTCCACTTTGAGTATAAACTCTGCTTTTGGTTTCCCTAAAAGTCATCGTACCAATGAAGATAGTGTTCCTTACTTATAAACTCATGATTTTCCTCTTAATGAGCCAATGTGAGACTACTCTTTTCAATAATTCGTAACATAAATCTCACAAAGTCAACAAACCTTATCCAATCAATAGAATGCAACCACACTACAAGGTCCATCTTTTTTCGGTTACGATGAGCAGGGGTCCACAAACTTGCTCAATCGTTTGAAATGATGAGGGTGGATGTGATATCGTTGCTGTTGGATTCTCGAGTAGTTCTCACTTCTCCTTATAGATTAGAGATGAAAGAAACATTAGAAATGAGCTGATACATTATATTGATAACAGGAAAGGCAAAGGACGGATAAGAAATCCATGCTAATAAGGGAGGGTTTTGGAGGAAAGGAGAACAACCAACCACTTATCGATGAGGGCCTTATCAAAAATAGATTATGAATCTGATAGCATCACCATAAGTTTTCTGATACCTGACTGTGAAGCAAGAAAAGGAAAAAATCTGTCCAATGGTCCCATGAAGAAAAGAAAGCAAGAAAACCCCAAAAAATACAAACAAACAGCTTCCCATTTTCCTTAGATATCAGTTTCGAGTAAGTTAATGGGTTTGTCTTGTATCTTACCATCTCCCACTAGTTATCAGTGTGTCAAATAAGAAGCATTACCTCAGAATTTAAGCTAGCCTTTAGGTTTCTCCAAAAGCCAATTCTAAAAAAGAAGCCCCTCAAACACAAGCCTCTCGCAGAAAATCAGGTGGACCCATAAGATTTTTGTTGTGGGCCGTCTCTTATTCCAGGCAATAGGGAGAAAATGAAGGGAAAATCCTGGAGAGGAACGCTGTATTGCGGCTGAAATGCTGTCAGGGAAGTTTTCTAAACACTTCGTTATACAATATGCAATAAATGTGAAGGAAATACGTACCATTGGATACCTTAAATCTTGTACAGGTCCGCACCAGAATGACATAAATGGAGTGATTTTCTGGGAAGTTTGAATACTCCACCCCATTGACCCGACTCTGGGTCCCATTCTGAGAAGTCTTGGCTTATTATATTCCCTCTAGACTTCAAGGGGTCAAAACCAATCATTTAATTCAAATTTAGGTGATTGTTTTATTTGGGGTTTTAAATTTCTTTGAAACTCGGTATATTTTTCTTTAGATCCAAATCTAATCCTTTAAATTGTACATTTTGGATTGGATTAATTCGACCCGTTTCAGTTGTAAATTCATCTAACCGAACTAAAAATTTTTGGGTTGGATTGGAATGATTTGTTTTTAAGATTTATCATTTAATTTCAATATATATTTGAAAAATTATTTTTCAAAAGGGTTAAAAATGAACGATAAAACTTAAAAAATATTAAGAAACTAAATAAAAATAAAATACTATATATATATAATTCTATTGCAAGCATAAATGTATTTTTTTAAAATTAATAATAAATTCAAGTTGATTAACTTCAACCCAATTTAATTTGAGTATAATTCTCGAATTAATCCAATTTATAATATTTGTTATTTATTTAAATAAGTTCATAATTCAACCTAATTTTTATCTCTTTTTTTTAAGTCATTAGATTGTTTGAATACCTCTACTCGTCTCTCCCAAATTTTTAGTTTATGAGAAAAAAATCCAAACTCATTTAATAAATATATTAATTATCTTTGTCAAAATATGACGTAATTAAATTAAAAATATATTTTTTTTATATAGGTTGGAAATACTTATTAAATGAGTTAATAATGTTCCAAATTGTAAATTGAAATTTTGTAACGGGCTTCCGGAAAGAGAGGAACACGTTGAAGATGTAACGCTGTAACCACCTGCCATGAGCAACACGCGTCCGCGTCACTGCATGAAAATGTAGTTTTCTCCGTCTTTCCCAAACGACAACGTTTTGAATAGTAGGTTGAAAACTACATGTCGTCCCGAATCAGTGGACCCACCATTATTTAATCCAATCACGCCACTTTCTGTAGATACTTAAAGAAATTCATGAATTTTCGTACCTTTATTCTGTAGGATATTTTTTTATTAAATTGATTTAATACCCATATTTTTTCTATAGCAAATACAAATTATTATTTAATAATCTCTTTAAATTTAAATTTTATTTCTGGTGTAATAATTCCTTGTACACTTTTAAATATTTTTATTTATTTATTTTTTTTTTTTTTGGACAAATTTCCCGTAAAGCCAGGCCAAGGCGACAGAAACGGAGGGCGGGGGGTATTATCGTATTTTAAAGCAACAAGAAGCCTGTTTCTTTTTGAACGACTGTTAGTAATAGTATCTACGAGTAGGCTTCTGTGATTGACATACGTGGCGTTATCTCATTGGCTCATGACGAAACCGAATATTCCGCCGAGTAATCGAAAAATACGGTTGAATTCCTTTTTCACCTCAGGTATTTTCTCTTCGATAAATACCGAAAACTAAACCGCTCCCCAATTAGATTCAGTATATTTTTACAGCGAAAACGAATAGAGAGGGGAAAAGGAAAACTAGAGTGATGAGCGACGCGTTGAAGAGAGACTATCAAGTGAACGAAGAGATCGGCCGGGGAAGATTCGGCACTGTTTTTCGATGTATTTCCAGAGCCTTTGGTGGATTCTATGCTGTTAAATCCATGGACAAAAGGCGAATCTCCGCCGGTGATTCACTCGACGCTGAATGCCTTGTGAACGAGACGAAGATTCTTCATCTCCTTTATCCTCATCCTCACATTCTTGCTCTGCATAATCTCTACGAAGATGAATTTCACCTCCATATAGTTCTCGATCTCTGTTCTTCCGATCTCCATCGGCGAATTAATCTCCAGGTTTTTTCTGAGCCGGAGGCGGCTTTGGTTATGTCGCAACTGATGAGTGCGTTGGCTCATTGCCACCGTCACGGCGTTGCGCACCGTGATATTAAGCCGGACAACATTCTGTTTGACGAGTGGAATTCGTTGAAACTCGCGGATTTCGGATCGGTGGAGATGTTCAAGCTGGGAGAAGAGTCGATGAGCGGAGTCGTTGGAACGCCGTACTACGTGGCGCCTGAAGTGCTGGCTGGAAAAAACTACTGCGAGAAGGTCGATGTGTGGAGCGCCGGTGTGGTTTTGTACGTAATGGTGGCTGGTTTTCCGCCGTTTCAAGGAGAATCGGTTGTTGAGATCTTTCATGCTGTGTTGCGATCGAATTTGAGATTTCCGCCTAGAGTTTTCCACTCTGTATCGCCCATGGCGAAAGACTTGCTTCGAAAAATGCTCTGTAAAGATGTTTTCAGGAGACTCTCCGCCGAACAAGTCCTCAGTAAGTATCTAATTAACGCTTTCAATTGCTCAATGTTTCTCTGAAATTCACGCTTAATTTTTTCTTTCCGTTGTCTGTAATCGTTCTCTTGTGGAAGATAGCAAGATCCTCATTCTTCATTTCGAAAAATTAAACTCTCTTACAGAAACACATTTGCCTTATTGTGCCCTAAAACTGAAATTAATCTCATCCATATATCAGTGTATTCAATTCCAACACATTATTTACAAATCCACGGCTTAGTTTTATTTTAATCAACAGTATTCTTGTTCCTCGTTGTTGTAATTTTTTTATTGGTCTGGTGGAATCAGGGCATCCATGGATAACAGCTTGGGGGGGAAACAGGCCGGCAAAGGAACTAGACTGAAGTTTTGAACAGAGTCGGTACTTTTTTTTTGTTTGTACTTTTCTTTTTTTGTTTTTGGCACGCGCACTGTAAATATGACGGAGCTGCATTCGATCGATAATGCCACACAGTTAGTAGTGTGAAAGAATTTGTATAACCTCTGAAACCTCTCTGTAATTAACGATAAATAATATATACTTTTGCTATTATTCGTGTTTTTTTATTGAGTTGTTGCAACCTAATCATCTCGGCCAATTTCTTGAAGTGCTTCAACCGGAAGAACTTGAACTTTTATACCAATTTTGAATCAATCCTAAAAAGGATAAAAAAATCTTTCTAACTCCACTTGAAATGAACACATAAATGATGGTTGAATCAAGCTTAAACTTATGATTTTTTTTTTTTTTTTTTTGGCCTTGATTGTGTAATAATACTTTTATCACTATCATTTATTTGTTTTTATTTTATTTCTTAATTATTTTCTTATTATTTAACTTAAAAAGTTTCTTTTTTAATAAATAAACTCAAATAATAATTTAAATATATTGTTAGTTCATATTAACAGTTGGTGGGGACTGGGGTCACAAAATTAATTTATTTAATATAATGGTTTATTCATCGCAATTACTATTTGTAATGCCGTTTATGTCGAAGTTCATAATTTATACCCAACATAAAATTCAACATTTAACCTTTTTTATTTTTATTATTATTTGCAATTACCAATTTATTATTATTATTATTTGAAGTTATCTAATTGAGATGAATATCATGAGTTTATAAATAATAAACACTATCTAATCATAGTCATCTGAGAGTTTAGGGTGGTTAAAGTGAAGAGTTTATAAATAATGAACACTATCTCCATTGATATGAATCACTGTTATCGGAGAGTTTAGGCAAACTTAGTTTTGGAGTAACAAGCCCACTTGGGAATACAACAACAGAGCTCCTGATAAGCCCACTGTCCATTGCGTATGGCGAAGAAAGCGATAAACGAATACAAAGCTCTGTTATTTCTTCCACAGCCCACCCAGTGACCTTAGGATTTCGCTTTACACAATACGTATAACATCTAAAAACAGAGTTTTACACACAAAAACCCCAACAACACTCCCTACGCTCAAACAGGCATAGTTCTACGAGATTCAGCCCTCGCCTCTGTTTCCCTTTCAACCTCTTCTCCCGCTTCCCCCGAAATCTCTTCCAAAGACTTCCCCTTCGATTCAGGAACCAACAATGTAAACAACGCCCCCAGACCATTCACCACCCCCAGAATTATCAACGTCTTCTTTACCCCAAACGCCTTCTCCGCCGCCTGGAACCCAAACGCCCCGATGATCGCCCCTGCTTTTCCCGACGCCGCAGATATTCCATGGCAGGTTGATCGAAGCCTCGCTGGGAAAATCTCCGCCGGTACCACGAATGTCGTCGCGTTTGGCCCGAAATTCGCGAAGAAAAACGTGAGAGAATACATCACTACGAACCCAATTCTGTGGTCTGGCAGAGTCCAGTGGTTGTAAGGAATGGCCAATGCGAACATGAACACCGTCATGAACAAAAACCCCATTAATTGAATTGCAAATCGACCCATTATGTCGATCAATGCCACCGTGAACCAATACCCTGGAACTGTGCTGCATAATGCTATGAGAGTCTGTGCTCTGGCGATTTTGAAAACTTCTTCAATGGCGTTCATTGTTTTCGCCGGAGGAAGCCATCCAATGGCGGTGAAGATGTCCTTTTGGAATAGATTTTGACTGTAGAATGCAATGTCCAATAAGAACCAGGTGGAGGTGGTTCCGAGCAAGTGAAGGCCGTGCCGGCGAAGAAAGCTTTTTGAGAACAACCCAAAATCGTTTTTCGATTTGCCTTCCTCGATTTTGTCCTGTTCGGATTCTAATTCCACCTGCAGGACTTTGGACATGTCCGCCGCCGCCTGTTTGGCGTTTTTAGCCACCAAGGCGGTGTAACGGGCGGTTTCCGGCATTTTCATTCGCCAGTAATAAGTGAGGAGAGCTGGGAAAGCTCCAAAAATTACAATGATTCGCCATACGTAATCCGCTTGTGAGACAGTGGAGGCGTTGGGATTTTCCTGGTACGACGGCGCTGGGTATTTGGCGTCGAAAGCGGCGGAGACAATTATAGCCACCACTCCACCAGCCAAAATCCCAAACCCCTGCATCGCAAACACGGCGGCGATGAATGCCCCCCTTGTTCTTTTATTGGCGTATTCCGACATGATTGTGGCGGAAAGTGGGTAATCGCCGCCGATGCCAAACCCGAGCCAGAATCGGAAGAAGCAGAGAGTGGCAACCACCGACGTCGGCGAGCTGCTGAAAGACAGACCGGAAGCAACAGAGCAAATAACCATAAGCATAAGGGTCATGCCGTAGACTCGTTTCCGACCCATTTTGTCACCGAGCCAGCCGAAGAAGAGCTGACCGGAGAGGGTACCGCAGAAGGCAACGCCATTAACGGCGGCGGCGACATTGGAAGGCAATTCACCAGGCTTGTCAGAGCCCTGTTTGTGATAATAAATCCGACCCAGCAATTTGGTGACAAGAGATACGCAGAAGAGATCATAGGCGTCGGTGAAAAAGCCCATTCCGGCGATCACAATGGCCGTGAAATGGTACCATTGCGTCTTGGCTACATCCAACGCGTCCAACACTTTCAGTGGCTCTCCGGCCATGCTTCCAACTGGTTCAAAGCATAAAAAAATGATTTTTTCCCCCAAATTCATAAAATTAAACAAAATCTTAAGCTACATGACATCAAAATTACCCAATAATACAGAAATATATATTATTTTTGGACTACTTACATAAATCAAAACTGGAATATAATTCAATAAAAGAATAAGTGTGGGAGACAGAAGTTAGGGTATACCATACCTAGAGGTGGAACCGCAGTCTCTGAGTTTTCGCCGGAAGATGTGGCTGTGGCGGTGGCGGTGGCGGCGGCGGCGGAGGAGGAGAAGGACGGAAAGAAATGGGGATGGATGAGGGGTATTTAAGAGGGGGGAACAGCGTCCAAGTCACGTGCATGGAATCTTCTCCAGCGAATATTCCCTAGTTTCTACCACTTTTTCTCGCCTGGCGCTTTTTCACACTACGCTTCTCAACTGTTTCTTGTTTTTTTATTTTTCTTATTTTGGAATTTCTTTATTTTATTTTATTTTTTTTGTTTAATTTTTTTAAAAGTAAAATAACTATTATAATTCAACCATCCACTTTTTAACTTTATTACAAAAATAAAATAATTATTCTATAATTTATGCGCATCAAATTTAGTTTCGTGTAAACTTAAATTTCATCGAAATAAAAATTTTACCATATTTTCCCATTACTTTTTCTTATTAATTAAAAAAATAAAATTTATGGTGGTTTTTAGTACCTAAATTTAATTTATTTTTATAAAATTAAAAAATAAATTAATAACTCATTATGAACCCGTGCACATAATTCAAACAAGATACACTGTATTTTCATTAATAGATTCAAATTTAATTAAACTTTATTTGGTAAGAAAATTAAATAAATAACGTACTTCAATCCATCAACAAAATTAGATGGGTCAATATGAGGTTCTTGGGATGATCTCACCATTGCTAGTGGTGGAGACGTTTCATCGATTTAAGGTAATTGGTGTTCCTAGTTCTTCAATAGGATTGGTTCACGGAATTTCTTTCCTTTTATTGCATTTCATTCAAATGGTTTATATGGGAAGTTTCATCTATTTAAGTTATTTCAGTCTATAAAAAAGTGGACTACTCGATTGATAGAAATAGACGGCTTCCTACATTAATTAAGACATTATTATTATTGAGAAAAAAAAGTGGACTACTCGATTGACTTATCTTTATAATTTGTTAGTCCATTTGATGGGACGTTTTTAAATTGAATTAATGCATATGAGATTTTTTTTCTTTCTACAATTTACATTTAATTATGGAAAAAACTAAGGATAAAATTTAAAGCAGAAAATATCTTACTTAAAATTTTAAATTAAAATCTATTATAAATCTAAACTTAATAATAATTACTAAAAATATTTTTTTATACAAGAAATGACTTTATATTTAATTAAATAAATTAATTGCATGTGCGTTGAAACTGGATAAGGTTATCAACGTCACAACTTGATTTTTTTTTTTAAATAATAATAATAATTAATTCAAATTAGTACTTTATTTTTAACATAAATTTAAATTATTAGTTAATTCAATGAATCATCCCTTACGTTCAATTATTAGTCAAACCCCATGATATTTAATTAATAATAATTATTCTATTCATGGAATAAAAATTAAAAAATAAAATATTCTAAACCTAATGCCTTGTAATTTTTAAATAACTATAAACCCAAATAATTGATACTTGTAATTTGAAGTTGTATAAAGAAATGGTGCAAATTCAAACTTCTCAACTATGACTTTATGAACAAATATTTCGTAAATAAATAAAATATTAAATAGCGAGAATATATAATAATGTTTATTATCAAATAAAAGTGGTCGAACACAACACAAATTGTGTATGGCTTATTTTTGATATTTTTGTGGTAACGGTGGAAGTTTGAACATTTTCAAACAATTTGGCGTTTATTTTGGATCATCTATAACCATGACATGACATGACATCTTTATTTTAAAATATTTGTTAGACGAACACGACTCTCCACAATGGTATGATATTGTCCACTTTGAGCATTTTGCTTTGAGGATTCTCAAAAGGCCTCATCATTTTCTAAATTAGCCGATGTGAGACTTTCATCATCCAAAAAGATTGACTTTGGTGTGGTGTGCAGTGACACGACAGTCACGGATAAATACCTTTTTAGAATATTATTATAGAATATTATGGAAAAAATTGGAAGTTTAGGAGAATCTTTTTAAGATAATAATATTTTATTAATTTAGAAGGAGAGGGATGAAATAAAAGTCAAAGAGTGGAAAATGGAGTTGCCAGCTGTTAGGGTGTTCTACAAACTTTTCATCCCCATCTCCATCCTCACGATGGGCATGTAATAGTCAATGTCTTTAAAAGTCTACTCTCCTGTTGTCACTTTTTTTTAATTTGAAAAATCACCATTTAATAAAAAATAATAATTATTTAATATATAAAAGAGTACTTTCACGCTATATATTATATAAAATCAGGTTACACTTTTTTGTCTTTTTCTCTACATGCTAACAACGAAGTGTTCGTTGTTTGTTGTTTATAACTACATTTGTATTAATCAATATATTTTTTCTAATAAAGATTCAATTACTAAATTATTTTATACACTAATTCTGATATTTTTGCTTTTAACTTTTCCGTATTTAAAAGAAAAAAACAAGAAAGAACTTTGGAGAAAGTTGTCCTTTTTTTTTTTTTATTATTTCTTCTAAATTAGGCGTGTACATAGGATAAGTCAGGTTGAAGAAGTTTTTTAGTTCGGGTTGGTTGGATGAGTAATCTAACCCAACCCAACCCAACCCGAATTCAATTCACAGCCCAACCCTCTATTTTTGGATTGGATTCAGGTTGTTTAGAAAAAGAACTCCAATGTTGAAGCACTTGAGGTGAAACTAAGCAACTAGGAGACGACAAATGTTCGCTGAACTGAGACGAGAACTCAAGAACTAAATACTGACTCCAAGGGTGAGATTGAGGCAAGATGAGACCGAAGGTAACTAGTAGTTCAACCCTATACTCTGAGCTCTCAAACCCGAGGCAATTCGGTATCGTGTGTGGGAACTAAAGCTCCACTTGTAAGAACTCAAGAGGAACAATTGATTCAGGATCCCAAATAAGGAAGAAGTTTGATGGGTAGATGATATGAGAAGATAAAGTAAGACTAATACCCAAAAACAAAGGAAAAGATGATTCTTTGAGAAAATTAGCTGAAACAAACTTTGGGAGCTACTACAATTATCCAAGAAATATATATATATATATATATATATATATATATATCATCTTCATGTTGGGCCAAGCCGACTCAAGAACTGTCGTGAGATTCATAAACATGCTCTCTAAAGTGTCAATGAGCACAAAGCATAATGTTTGTTACATCAAGGAAGAAACCTGTATCAGATGACGCAGTTCGGTAAGAACATGGTATGAGTTTCATCCGATTCCTCCCAGAAACGACTGCAAAGACAAATATTAAACACTTTTTTTAAGCTTCTTGACGTGATTTTCGAACAATTTAGTTCCCATCTCGGAGTGAACTTACCTCGACTTTAGGTGAACTGCCCTACCGTCCCAACGACATGCTGCCGAAGCCAAACCTCGACTTCTTATCGGCTGGTTTTAGTATTTGGAACGAACACATTAAATTTTCATCCACGCGCATCATTGCACCAGCATTATCAAACTCTCCACAGTAATTTGGAGCAGAAAATATTGTTACAAGTTTTCGATTTGCGAAAAACTCGTACCCGTCCTCCACGACCTGCATGCATATTGAAATAGTGTAAGTGTCTGCATTGTGTAGGTCCATGATGTTATCAGAGATATGATCCCACCTGGTGAGCTCTACAAATCAAATCAAGATCATGCTTTCGAAGAAACTCTATAACTCGATCCACTCCCCTGGTGAGCTCTACAAATCAAATCAAGATCATGCTTTCGAAGAAACTCTATAACTCGATCCACTCCAAACGTGTAAGAAACCCCTCGTTCATTCGGTCCCCAGCCTCGTGTTTCTTGACTTGGATCAGACCAGAGAAGATCACAAACTAATCCTTTGTCGGGAACATCAGTAGGCCGCTTTAAGTTCCTAATCTGATCCAACGTGTCTAGGTGAGGAGACAGTCCACCATGCATACAGAGTATCCTTTCATCAATCAGAGCAGCCATAGGCAAGCAATTGAAACAGTCTGTGAATATCTTCCAGAGTTTAACGTTGAATCTCCGTTTACATTCGTCGTAAAATCCGTAGATACGGTTGACAGATGCACATTCATGGTTGCCCCTCAAAAGAAAGAAGTTTTCAGGATATTTTATTTTATATGCAAGGAGAAGGCACATGGTTTCTAAGCTCTGCTTTCCACGATCTACATAGTCCCCCAAGAACAAGTAGTTCGAATGAGGGGGTAATCCACCATATTCAAGAAGCCTTAGAAGATCAGTATACTGGCCATGGATGTCTCCTGAATGCCATTGAAAACTAAATTTCAGTCATACATACAGAATAAACAGCTCAAAACAACTAAATATTGAATTGAAAAACACTCCCACCATAGATCATTACATGACCCACATTTCTAGTGCCCTGAGTCTACCCATCTAACTAGAACTTCAGTGATACAATTTTTAAAGTTAGAAATCACAGACCTCCACAATCCACAATGGTATGATATGTCCACTTTAAGCACAAGCTCTCATGGCTTGACTTTTGGTTTTCCAAAAGGCTTCATACCAATAAAGATGTATTCCTTACTTATAAACCTATAGAGCCTCCTCTAAAACCTTAATCGAGGCTCCTTACTTATAAACCTATGGAGCTCTTGAACAACCTCCCCTTAATCGAGGCTCAACTCCTTTCTCTAGAGTCTTCAAACAAAGTACACCCTTTGTTCAACACTTGAATCGCTTTTGACTACACCTTCAAGGCTAGCAACTTCATTGTTTCGACACTTAAGGATTCGATTAGCATGACTAAATTAAGGGCATAGCTCCGATACCATGTTAAGAATCACGAACCTCCACAATGGTATGATATTGTCCACTTGGAGAATAAGCTCTCGTGGCTTTGCTCTTGCTCTCATTTTAATCAAACAAGGAAGAGCATTCCTTCCTTTTCAACATGAAGCAACCAACTAAACTACTTATCTTCAATAAGCTCAGTCTCAAATGGTTAAGCAAGTCAATCCCAGTTTCAAATAAACTTAAATTGATGAATGAAACTATGTTGAAGCCCTTGAGAGCTATACAATAAGTAATGGGCATGTACGATCAGAGTTCTCAATCGAAATATACTTTTCAAACAGTCATAGTATAGCCGCAAGCAGTGTACTCTAATCCCAACAACAAAACCCAAACAAATCAATAGAGAAAGGGAAAAGGAGAAACCGCAGATATAGACAGGAGCTTCAATTTCCAAAAGATTTGGTTGCCTTAAGAAGATATTCCTGGAGACCATGCATAACTGAGTAATTTCCGTCTCAGAAAGCGGCGCCTGCTTCCCCGATTTGCTCCCGGTTTCAAGCAACCTGCTAATTATTCTATTAAGGGTAGCAGATTCCATCCTATGGTGTGGTTCCTCCTTTGATTCAAGAAAAAAACAAACAATCTTTCAGGACGAACAAGATAGCAGTAGTAAAAGGAAAAAGAAAAGGCAGAAAGAATAAAGACAACGTACTTCTTCAATCTTCAGTTTCTGGTTCCGCTCCTAGTCTGATTTGGAAAACTAGCATGACGAGAATTGAAATTGCGGGAGAGATTCAGGGTTCTTGAAAACGGAAGGAAAAAGAAAACGAACTAAGGCTTTATGTTTCTTTTTCCTTTTGCCCATTTGGATTCACACTTGGAGAGATGAAAAGAATGGTGGCAGATCGATGGGGAAAAAGGAAGAATATATTCGATTGGAAGAAGATTGAGTGGAATTCGGAGCAAACCCTAATGCAGAAAAAGGAATTAAAGAACGAAGGGTAATGAAGAAGCTTTGTAAAGTGAGGTTCTGAGTTGGTACACGCGGACCCCATACACCATACAACTTCTGAACCACTCTTCCACCGCCGATCATGACGACGGTGGAGCGTTTCCATTTTCTGCACGCAGCGTCGTACACGGCGGCCGGGAAAATGATCATGAGTCATGATGACGGTGAAGCACTCTCTCTAAGCCATGATAATAAAATTCGTTTTCATAACAATCAGCCCAGAGTATTTGGGCCTGGGCCCAGAAAAATATGAAATTAATATTTTTTTTTTAAAATGTGTTGAATAAAAGTGGAAAATAAGGCGCGTGATAAATATGAAATAAATCCCAAGTGGAATAATAAATGATAAAAATGGAAGAAGAGTTTGACTTTGACCCTTGACCAGTCAATAACCACGTGATTGAATTGGACGGTTCCCATTTTTCCAATTCAGACAAAACCTTATCCTTTCTCTTGTTCCTTGTTGGGATGTTTTTTTTAGGTGAAACAATTTGTTCCTTTCATATATTCTAGAAGCTCAATTTTTTTTTTTTTTTTTTTAACTGAATCCTTAATTTAATTGATTATTTTTATTATTCTTACTTTTATTTAGACAATTAAAATAATTATATATTTAAATTTTTTATTGTTTTTAGAAATAGAAGGTAAAAAAATCGGATGGGAAAAAAGGGAAAAGGAGTGAGTGAAGTGACACGTGGAATGCGAAAACTAGGGAGAAGCAATTAATTAAAAAAAAAAAAAAACAAACAATTCAGAATCAGCACGCAATATCATCACTCAAAATCATCCCATGTCACAATTATCTCTTTAATTATATTTAAATTAAAGTCAATTACAGGTAGCTATAAAGCTTACACCAATCTCAAGTCGAACCAAGCTCGAACCTTCCTTAAAACTTTGAGTTCATATCCCATTTTGCTAAGAACTTTAATTGTTTTATACAATTGTTAAGCTTGACCCATCGAGAAAGTCGACATTCTTTGAGCAACATTCCTTTAATAATTGTATATTTGAATTGAGGATAAGATAAAAGAAGGTAAAAGCAAAAAAGAATAACATTAATAATGTGATCATCTTCTCTTAATTCCTGTCTGCTAAAACAGGGGAGGGAGGGAAAACAATATTAACAGCTAATTAAGAGATCCCCTGATGAGATTATGGTGGATTAGAGAGAGAAATTAAGAATAATAATTTGGATTTAGCAACAACAAGGGCTGCCACTTTGAGAACACCCCAGAAGCTCTTCCAAATACTCTGTTCCTAAATCCTCCAAAACCACCATGTTTTGGATCCTTACATCTCTCTCTTTCTTCTTTTTGCTTATGCCATTCCTTCTCACCGAGTGTTTTCTTTTCAAAGCAATCACCGGCGACCCGCCGTCCTCGGCGAGACCATAACCATCGCCGCTGCAGTTCATTTCCTTCAGAGATTCCCTAACTCTGTCCACGGGGAAATTGAGAATCGCCGCGGCTCCTCTCATCGCAAAGGCGGCTTGATCGTAGGCCAAAGCGGCGGCTTCCGCACTGTCGAAAGTTCCCAACCATACCCTTATGCCATGTCTGGTGGAATCTCTAATTTCGGCGGCGAATTTCCCCCATGGACGCCGGCGAACTCCCCTGTAAGACCTCTCCTTCTTTGGGCTCTCTTCGCCCACGGAATCCACCTCCTCCTCCTTAACTCGCACCGCCCCAATTCCCTTCTCGGACGAATCCTGCCTCCCCTCCGAGATCAGCTCATAGAGAAGCATTTCCTCGGAATCATTCTCATTAAAAGGAAGAAAATTATGATCCAAATTGATGAAGGAAGATTCCGGCGAATCAAACGAGGATTCCGATGAGAAATCGGACGCCGGCGAGAAGAATCCAGAGTAATCCATCTAATTAAGCAAGATCAAAGAAGAAGAAGTTGCTCTGTTTTGGCAGTCGTTTGGGCGAGGAAAATTTGATTCTATAATTGCCGGTATATATACCGAATATTCAAGTAAAGGGAATGAATAAGGGTAAAAAGGGAAGAGAGGAGTAGAGTTGAGGGTAAAATGGTAAAATCGGATACGAAGTGTTTCACATTTAATCGGTTTACAATGTTTTCGTCGTTGAGAAAGGAGCAGATTAATTGAACACATGCGTGAATTAAGGACATAGCCGCCGTATCAGATGGAGGGAAGTGTTGCTGACATCAGCATTGTATTTCCAGGGGTTTTGTCGGATAGTAATGGGACCAGTTCATGTCTTTCGTACACGTGTCCATCACACGTGACCGATACGACACTTTTTTTGTCTTTATTACGTGGACGCCTCCAATTAATTACCACTCTGCCATTTTTCTCTCTTTGTTTGAAAACGGTTTCGGTTTTTATTCCCTGTTTTTGTTTAGTGCGTATAATATAATAATACTTTATAAATATTTATTTCAAATTAATTATCTTTTAGTATTTAATTAATAATAGCTAATTATTTGTCCAAACGCTTCCCTTTTTTTTAAATCGAATAATAATAATTAATTTCATTATTTGAACGCTACTTCCAAGAAATTGCGAGATGAATGAAGAATTGTCGGAATTTAAAAATTATTTATTCTACAAATTAATTACTAAAATCACTATCCAATAACCCAAATAAAACAAAAAGATGCGATTTTTTTTAATTATATATATATATATATATATATATATATATTAATGGGAGGGAAAAAATAATGATTTTGAAAGGCCCAGTCCAGATACAGATCCCCTTGATTTACTAATAATTTTTAAAGTAAAAATAAAATAAAATTTAATGTAAAAAAAATAAAAACGACAATTCTGGCGCTGAATTGAATTTCAGGAGATCTCTCCGAAAGAATGGATAGTAGAATGGGATTGTGTTCGGTTAGAAAACGACAATTCTGATTTCCTCTTCTCAACTTTAGGATGGGACGACATGTAGTCCAGCCATGAAGCTTCCTCGGAAGCCTTTTGTATTTTTTTTTTAAATAATTTTATTATTCCTGTCCTTGTCAGCGTGCAAAGGACACGTCGGTTTTCACGAAAGTAAATATCATAATCTATTTTATTAAATTAATTAGTAAATGACCATTTTACCCCCAGCCACCCCGAATTGGAAGTAAGAGTGAAAACAGACGGCTAAAAATGATCGGATTATTCCCAATTCCGGTGTGCAAGGGTAGAAGGGACAGAGATTGATGGCTGGTTTTTTTGTCTTTTCAGCTTGTCAGAGTCAAGCAGTCTTAGTTTGACAAGTCCGACATTGAATTTTGGGACAATACTAGCCACTAACTGCTAACTCCTACAAACGACGTGTAGTTTTTGATTGCCTCAACTAAACAATATTTTATTCATATGAAGATCTTAAAAGATTGGGGGTAAAAAGGTAATTTCACGACAAGAAAAAAAAAACAATATTAATAATAATAAAACCTACACTTTTGGGTGGGAATATAAAAACATTACCATGAATTAAAAATATTTATTTATTTTAATTATAAAAAATCTTAGGTGACATATTTTATTATCTTCCATTAAAGAATTAAAAGTGAATTTGTTTCCCTTGATTTGAGACATAATGAGAGAGAGGAAAATCTTTTAAATTTATTTGACTTTCAACTATCAATTTTATATTTAAATTTCTTCTATTTAAAATAATAAAAAATAAATAAAACAATTTTTATTTATTATTATTATATTTTAGGGAGTTAATTAATTCAATTCAACTTAAAAGACTTTAATTTTATCTATTCAAATTATTATTTTAGAAATTTCAAAGCGTCGTGCTCTACTACGAAGCTTCCAGTGAAGATTACGTGGAAAATAATAATAATAATAAATAAATAAATAAATAAATATTGAAATTAAACATAAAAAAGGAAACTGCAATGATATTTCTGCTCCCTCCTACAATGGAGCATTAAATTCCAAATTTATCCCTACTCTTTCTAGAAACTATAAAATTTAGCTTTTTTTTTTTTTTCAATATTAATTAAGATTTATTTATAGATGACATCACGTAGTTACAGATATTTCATACGGTAAACTAAATAGGAAACCAAGTTTCATTCCCAATTTAAAAAAAAAAACATCGAATTTAATTTATTTTTTTACTTAAGACTGACGAGAGCATAATTAACGTTTTGTTTTGCGAGAGAATAGTCAATATCTTGATCTTTCAAAGATCGATGTCTCCTTTTCGTAATAATCCTTTAGGTTGAACTACGTGCTCGTTTTGCCAAAAGAACGAAAAGTGGACTATAGACTTTTTTAAAAAATTAAAGGGATTTAAAAATATATATATAAATCCATTTACAGAATCTTTTTACAAAAGCGAGCCACCAAGACCTATAATTTATATAATTTAGTTATTTATCAACGAGAAGAGAAAAAAAAAGTAATTATAGAATAATTTTAAACATTTAAATTAAAATCACTATAACATTTTAACAAAAATAAAAAAAAATAATAAATTAGTTTTTTTTTAGACAATTTAGTGTAGGAAAAAGAAGAAGACAAAAGTTGAAAAAGATTAAAAAAAAAAAATTGTTTTATTTATTTTTTTTTTTCGGTAAAAAGAAAGAAAAAAGGTCTAAAAAGATGGGCCATGAGTTTGAGTGAGACAGGGGGAGATACATTGCATGTGGTTGATTATCTTTTAGCATCATTTTCTCACATTTTAATTTTATTTAATTTATGACCCCCAACCAATGGGTCCAACGTGGATTTATTAATTATGGGATTTTAATTTTACTTCAAGGTGTGGAAAAATATGAGATTCCCTCGGTTATTGTTCTTGTGGGCCCTCCAATTATTAGATAAACAATCTATTTAAATTGATTTCCACGTAGATTTTTAGAATAATTCTATAATAAATTGTTTTAATTTAAAATAATTTTCCGGAATTGAATTACCACAATTTTGTAAAATAAGTAATTTCATGAATGGATAAAATTATTTTAAGTCTGGATGATAATAATTTGTTGGGTTTTCTTTTTACTTTTTTAAATTAGAAATATTGTAGATGATAAAGAAGAATATTTTTGTAATTATTATTATTATTATTTTAGTTTTAAACACTACGAAAATGACGTGGAAAAAAAAGTGACAAGGACAAGAATTATGTGCATGCAAATACAATATTGGTCGAAAGGAGCCAAGAAGAAAA